ATTACATTTATTTAAATACATTTACATTTCCTAATATAATATAGCCATTAAATAAATTAAAAATTATTCTTGAACATTATTAAATTTTTAGTTCTATGTTATAAATTTTGCTTTATATTAAAGAAATGAAAGTTTTCAACATATGAAAATATATGAAAACTAAAGTTTAACTTATACTGTAAATTAATATTTCTAAAAGTAATAGTATTTTTATATAAATATAAAATTATTATGATAATATGAGGCTTTTTTATATTTTTCTATTTTATTTTACATTTTTATTTTAATGATGATTTTAACAAAGTGCTAAATACAAAAGCTGTTCTTTATCCTCTTTCATTTGCATTTTATTTATTTCAATATCACATTCATTATAGCTCGATTATAATTACGAGATTATTGCTTCGAAATTGTATCATTTATGAGTTTAAGAGAAAACGTAATTTGTGATGCGCGAATGATTGATTGCAATTTCGGAAATGTCGGCTCGTTATCGCGAATTATCGATTTTTGCCACAAGTGCGGCGTTCGCGCGTTGGTAATTTATTTTTACTGAAAATATACTCGCCGCGCATAGAAACTAATGTTATTTCTGTCGTTACGTCTCCCTCGTTACATCGAAAATTGAAGAGTCGCTTGATGAAATGCATACAAACCGCGTTTGAGAAACGCGAGGTAAGCCTTCTGTTTTAGTATGATTTTATTTCTGTTGCCGCTCGCGAAACGCTTGTGTCAGGATAAGACAATTTCGTGTAAACGTAAGAACAAAAGAAAAATATTAGTCATACATAATTGAAAACATAACACAGACGGAGAAGACGCGACATAAATTGTAGTAATTAAGATGTTATATAAATTTGCGCATATATAAAGGACATGAAATAAAACGCGAGGTTTGTACATAAAGATGAGCGGAACTTGTAACTCATATTTTTTTTTTCCTGTTTTTGTTCAATTGGCGAGGATTATTATTCTCGCGGAAAGACGTTTTGCATGTTGATGCGGTACGAAAAATATCCTAGGCAATCGATACCGTATATATAAAAGTACACGGAAGCGAGTTACGAAAAAAAAGGTAATCTAAAAAGCAGATACACGCGTGTCAATGATATCACACGTGATATCATTTTTATTATGAAATTATTCACCCTGTTCTCCGAATAAAGTAAAATTGTGAGATCATAGCTGTATTCCGCGCTCGAGTTACATAGGAGCACATTTCACCCGAGCGACATTTCGAGAACATTCTTAGAATATCCTCTTATCCGTAGGACATCCTTTGAAGATGTGTATGGGTACACTAAACGAGTAAAAACGAGTAAAAACGAGTTTATTCCGTCGAACGACCTACGAATCTAAAAGGATAACGAATGTAAAATGTGTTATAAATAGGAGTGTCGATAAAAATCTAACTTTGGATTCGCGTAAACTTTAAATTGCGTTATTTCTATCTCGCTGTCTACTGAAAGAGTCGACAAACATGTCGTTTCCCGTCTCCCCGAATTTGATCCGCATGATATTCGTCGAGCAGTGATTATGTCTGTGATGACACTTCAACGTAGAGCTTCTTTTTTTCATTTTCTGCTCAATTTTACAGTCAAGTCGACGGTATATTACGCTGACATGTTTTCAACGTGACAAAATTGCCTGGTGCGAGTTTAAATAGCGCACACGTGAGGTCAACAGCACGAAAACACGAAGTCATTAGTTCTTCATTCGTTGAACATATCGCGTTCTTGTTTTACGTTGAAAAATGCAAATTTTTCTATAAAACTTTTTTCGAGCATGACGGAAGTTTGTACGCTGAAAAATAAGCTCCGGTAGGACGGAGGGAAGTTTAGCGGATCTCTGCGAAAAAATCGCATACGTGGTCCCCCCAATAAAAATTTTTGTTGGCGCCCATGGGGAGAATCGAGGACGATGCCGAGCGCCCCCTCTCCCGAGGACGCGACGGCAAGGAGATTCCGGGGGGTTAACGAGGGAGGAAGTTCATGGTAGTAGGGGGCGACGGTGCGCGGCGGTGGTTTTGACGATAGGGGTGGCGTGTAGATGCGAGCGCCATCTGGCCGTTCAGTGCCCGGCCACCTTCGGTACACCCCGTATGCGACTCGCGCTCGCGGCTTCCGGATAATCGCGGCTAGTATCGGGCCCGAGGATTGGGACGGCGGTAGTGCACCGTGCCTTAAATACAGTGACCAGTGTATGCCTTGAACGCGACGTGACAAAAAGGTAATTATCATCACGACAGTGGCGGTGACGATGGCGATGGCGATGGCGCGAGAGCGGTCGTCCTTCTTTCTCTCTTTCTTCCTTTTGGACGTGAGATGTGTGAAGTAACGGGAAGAACGGAGGTGACGACGAGACGACGGGAGGTGGCGGAGGTGGAGGCGAAGGTGGTGGCGTAGAGAGAAGGTGAAGCGCGCGCGAGAGAAAGCAAAAGGTGACGACGACGATGACGACGACGACGATGACGACGACGGCCACGGCTACGATGTTATATAGAATATCGCTCGCGTCGTAAGGGTCTCCGCTCCTCGTCTGCTTCAAGAGACGAGACGCACGCGAGTCGATGAATCGATCCGCCCGTCCGCCGCGCCGACACCGCGGGTACGAGTTGAGAGAAACGATCGCAAATAGAAACAGAATCCTCGCGTCATACGTAAGAGAGCCAATGTCGGCCGCAAGTCCTCTTCGCCCATGGGGAACGTTCCATTCAGGCGTCTCTCCCTCTTGGCCGATATTGGCGACGTAATATCGGGGTGAAGGTGCGCGTCGCGTTTCGCCCACACGGGGGAGAAACTCCATCGAGGTTCGCTCGGCAAGAAAGAGAGAGAGAGAGAGAGGAGGGGGAGGGGGGGGTCGTACGGCGGGCGCGATAGT